AGTCGGAGTCGATGTTTTCCAGAGGCAGGCAGCTGTCCGCTCTCTCATGCTCATCCTCATCGGAAAGCTCGGGTACGGGCTCAAGAATGGGTGCCGGTAAAGGTACCGGCTCGATGCAATCGGGCGTCCCGCATCCCAAGTGTTGGACAATAGCTTGTAGCATCTTGCTTGACCACCGTTGAAGTGCCTCCACCGTATTGACTTTATGCTCGACGGTAGTCACTCGGTTCCTAGTAATTATCATCTCTCGCTCCATCTTCTTTCGGAATCGTCGATCGGAACGGGAGCTTGAGGCATCGGGCTCGTCTCGGGCTTGAAGAGCGGCTTGCGGCTCGTCATAGGTGGCTTCTTTGAATAGCGAAGCCGCAAAATCGGCAATCGGCTTCCGCATGTTGAGCTCGATATCATTGGGCAATTTGGGGACTTTCTCTCTTTTGCACAATCCCGTGACGAGGCTAGGGAAGAAGATGCCCTTTGTATTGTAGCGCAATGAAAGCCAAATTTGATCGGACATAATTGACCCGATGTCGACCGGCTTCCCCGTGATAATGTAATAAGCAAGCGCACACCGTTCGTGGTTGATTCGACTAAACGATGTAGTCGGGATTATGTTGGCGCAAATAAACGTCAACCACGCCTTGCCTTCATAATTGATGCTTTTCCAACTAAGCTCATACGTTCCTTTGTCCGGGTATTCGATCCATTTTGGATGCCCATCACTCAACACTTCACCAATTTGCTCTTTGGTGACTTCGTTGCTCATCTCTCGCCAATTTTGACCCAACCATGGGAGCCCGTAATATCGATTTATATCATCCGTCTTCCAACTAACATGAATTTTTCGTACCACACTTGCGAATTCTCGTGGATGCTTGAGCACCAACGTGTTTGCATAAAACTCTCGTACGATCGATATGTTGTAAATTGGCTCCGGTTCACAAACCCTTTGCCATCCCCGTCTTATGATTTCTTGGTTAAGATTGGCCAAGTGTGACAACGTGATTGTCAAGGCCCGTTCCGTGATGACGGTCTTTTTGCCTTGTTTATCGAATAGAGCCGCGGCGCCTTCCACACTAAAAGCTTCTTTTTCGGGAAAAGGAATAGTCGTTTTGGTGGCACCTTTCTTGCCTTTGCCTTTGCCCTTGGAAGATGAAGCTTCCTCCGTGCGACCTCGTTTGTTGGACGTCATATTTGGGAAAACTTTTGGAATGAACTCGGTGAGAATTGGATGAGAATCGACCTCCAATTTTGGTTGAGGCAATTTGTCGAACACCTTGTGGGCGTGCCTTGAAAGATGAAATTTCGAAGAAGTTGGTTCGATTCTCTAGCCTCCCTGTCAATACCAACACAAAATAAGAATTAGAGAGTGTGTGGGGAATTATGTGAGTGAAATTTGAAGAATTTTCGGAAGAAAAACTCAAAAATTCGAAAATTGTGTATAGGAGGTTGAGAGGATGAAAGAGAAGGGTTTAGGGAGAAATGGGGGGCAAAATCTGATTTTTAGAAGTTTATAATGCCCAATATGTGCCTCGGACGGCCGTGCCACTATTTAGCCTAATTCTCGGACGGCCGTCCGAGTCTTCTGCCCAACCACTGCTCACGGGACGGCCGTCCCAGTTTATGCCTAGTTCTTCGGACGGCCGTCCGAAGATAACCGGTCCTTGCTGTTTTTGGGACGGCCGTCCGGGTCTTGTGCCCATTTTTTGGACGGCCGTCCGAAAATTACCGGTCCTCACTGGTTTGGGGACGGCCGTCCCGGTTTTATGCCTTTTTTTGTGGGACGGCCGTCTCAACACTTGTTCAATTTTTTTTTTTTTTTTTTTTTTTTTTTTTTTTTTTTTTTTTTTTTTCGGACGCTCGACTCGACCCTCGATCACGTTTTCGACCCTGAAAAGTAAATTTCAAATAAGAAGTTAGAATGCATGCTTATGATACTAAAAACGAAACGAAAAATTAAAGAAAAATACGAAAAACAATAAAGCTCGGGTTGCCTCCCGAGAAGCGCTAAGTTTAAAGTCTTCAGCCGGACGTTGCTTCTTTAATTTCAAGCAAAAGTGACCACGGCCACTTGACGTTCGCCACCATCTCCCCAATAGTGTTTGAGTCGATTTCCATTTACTTTGAATACTCGTTCCGATTCGCGGTCCTTGATTTCTATAGCTCCATGTGGAAAGACTTGTTGAACGATGAACGGCCCCGACCATCTTGATTTAAGCTTTCCCGGGAATAACCGAAGTCGTGAATTGAACAAGAGAACTTCTTGCCCTTTTTGAAATTGACGGTGCAAGATGTTGTTGTCGTGCCACCTTTTGACTTTGCCTTTGTATAACCAATTGCTCTCGTACGCTTGCTCTCGTAATTCGTCCAACTCGTTGAGTTGCAATAACCTTCTTTCCTTGCACTCTTTGTAATCGAAATTCATCTTTTTTAGCGCCCAATAAGAACAATGCTCCAATTCCAACGGTAGGTGGCATGCTTTACCGAACACCGCACGGTAAGGGGTCATTCCCAATGGCGTTTTAAAAGCTGTGCGATATGCCCATAGTGCATCATCGAGTTTTTTCGACCAATCCTTTCTTGTTGGGCCTACCACTTTTTCCAAGATATTCTTGATTTCGCGGTTCGTAACTTCGGCTTGCCCATTCGTTTGTGGGTGATACGCGAGCGCAACCTTGTGCTTTACACCATATATGCTCATCAAGTTGTCAAATTGTTTATTGACGAAATGCGATCCACCATCACTGATAATTGCCCGTGGTGCTCCAAACCTAGTGAAAATCTGTTTCTTCAAGAAAGCACACACTACAGATGCATCATTAGTAGGGGTGGCTATTGCCTCTACCCACTTAGTAACGTAATCGACGGCCACTAAGATGTATTGGTTATTGAATGAAGGGACAAAAGGTCCCATAAAGTCAATACCCCAAACATCAAAAGGCTCGACTTCGATCATCGTGTTCAATGGGAGTTCATGGCGAGCCGAAATATTGCCCGTGCGTTGGCACCGATCACAAGTAATAGCAAATTTATACGAATCTTTAAAAAGAGTGGGCCAAAAAAAACCTGATTGAAGAACCTTACGTGCTGTTCTTTCGCCCCCATAATGTCCTCCATAATCCGAACCATGGCAGTGAAAGAGTATGTCTTGCTGCTCATGTTCCGGGACACATCTTCGCACCAACAAATCACTGCATTGTCTAAAAAGAAAAGGCTCTTCCCAAAAATAAAATTTTACATCATGCAAAAATTTCCTCTTTTGATGATAATTGAGATTCGGTGGAAGCACTTGACTAACCAAATAATTTACATAATCGGCAAACCAAGGTACCTTATTATCAAAAGCAAGCAACTGTTCATCAGGGAAATTTTCATTAATGCAAATTCTATCGCTTTCGTCTACATCTTTCTCAAGACGAGATAGATGATCGGCTATTTGATTTTCACTACCCTTTCGATCACGAATTTCAATATCAAATTCTTGCAACATTAAAATCCACCTAATGAGTCTAGGTTTTGCATCCTTTTTAGTGAACAAATATTTGAGGGCAGCGTGATCAGTGAAAACAACAACTTTGGGTCCTAACAAGTAAGAGCGAAATTTTTCGAAAGCAAAAACAACAGCTAATAACTCTTTTTCCGTAGTGGTGTAATTTAATTGTGCATCATTAAGAGTTTTACTAGCATAATAAATTGATCGAAAAATTTTCTCTTTCCTTTGACCTAAAACGGCGCCAACCGCAAAATCACTAGCATCGCACATAAGCTCAAACGGTTCATCCCAATTCGGTACACAAATAATAGGAGCGGATACTAACCTTTGCTTAAGCTCGTTGAAAGCTTGAAGACACTCACCATCAAAATTGAATTTTGTCTCCTTCTCGAGTAGGTTACAAAGGGGCTTGGCAACTTTTGAAAAATCTTTGATAAAACGCCGATAAAAGCCCGCATGTCCAAGAAAACTCCTAATGCCTTTGACCGAAATAGGTGGCGGAAGATTTTCAATTGTGGAGATTTTTGCTTTGTCCACTTCCAAGCCTTCTCGCGAGATTTTATGCCCAAGCACAATTCCTTCGTGCACCATGAAGTGGCACTTCTCCCAATTTAGCACCAAGTTGGTTTCTTCACACCTGCGCAAAACCTTAGCCAACATGCAAAGACAAGTGTCAAAGGTATCACCGAAAATAGAGAAGTCATCCATAAATACTTCTAAACCGTTCTCTACCATATCGGTGAAAATAGCCATCATGCACCGCTGAAAAGTAGCGGGTGCATTACATAAACCAAAAGGCATGCGTCTAAATGCAAAAGTACCATAAGGGCATGTAAATGTGGTTTTGTGTTGATCATCCGGTGCAATGGCTATTTGATTATATCCCGAATATCCATCTAAAAAACAATAAAATTCTTTACCTGCCAATCTATCAAGCATTTGATCAATAAAAGGTAAAGGAAAGTGATCCTTTTTAGTGGCTTTATTTAATTTCCTATAGTCCATGCAAATTCGCCAACCCGTTGTGGTTCTAGATGGAATTAATTCATTATTTGCATTACGGATAACTGTCATACCTCCTTTCTTAGGAACACATTGAACGGGGCTTACCCATGCGCTATAAGAAATCGGATAAATAATACCTGCGTCGAGCCACTTGAGAATTTCCTTCTTGACTACCTCTTTCATGATGGGGTTGAGACGCCTTTGGTGCTCTACTGACGGATGTTGTTGATCATCTAAGATGATTTTGTGCATACACAATGAAGGGCTAATTCCCTTGATATCCGCAATTTTCCATCCAAGCGCCGTCTTGTGTTCCCGCAGTACTTCCAATAACCTTTGTTCCTGCAAAGTAGATAGAGATTGTGAGATAATCACCGGCAAAGTGTCATTCTTACCGAGGTAGGCATATTTGAGGTGTCCGGGTAATTCTTTCATCTCAAGCTGTGGTGGTTCCTCCAATGATGTTTTGAATGCCTTGGGGGTGGTAAGGGTGGCCAAATCCAAACTTTCAAACTTTTGCCGGGTGAGAAAATCACCGGAATCTAACCAACAAATTTGCTCCTCCACTCTTTCATCTCCACAGTCGTTACCTACAACCAAAGATGCCTCCAAAGAATCCAAGTGTAACGAATCAAAGTTTTCAAAAGAACAAGACTCCACTAAATCGATAGAAAAACACTCATTAGAATTGTGCGGCCGCTTAATTGCATTAAAAACGTTAAATTTAATAGTTTGGTCATGCACCGTCATGGTGAGATCCCCACTAGCACAATCAATAACAGTACGTGAAGTAGCTAAAAACGGCCTTCCCAAAATAATTGGGATTTCTCTATCTTCATCCATATCAAGAATCACAAAATCAGCAGGAAGAATAAATTCGTCAACCTTCACTAAGACATCTTCTAAAACCCCCTTTGGGTAGACTAGAGACCTATCGGCTAATTGGAGTGTTATAGCCGTTGGTTCAATTTCCCCCAACCCAAGACTCTTATATGTAGAAAAAGGCATAAGGTTGATGCTAGCCCCTAAATCAATGAGTGATCGAAAAAATTTATCTCCTATTGTACAAGGGATAGTAAACTTACCTGGATCACCGAGTTTTTGAGGGAGAGGTCTCGTAAGGATTGCACTACACTGTTCGGTGAGTTGAATCATCTCGTTTCCTTGCAATTTTCGTCCCTTTGTTACGAGTTCTTTGACAAACTTCACCCACTTTGGCATTTGTTGGAGTGCTTCGATGAGGGGGATATTGATACGGATTTCCTTCATCTTGTTGAGAAAGCTTTGGTATTCGGCATTTAACTTCGGTGGTTGGAACCTTTGTGGGTATGGGATGGGAGGAGCCGGTGTAACTTTCGCCCTTGAAGTTTCGCCTTGAACGTGTGTGTCCTCTTCCGCCACCTCGGTCGCCTTTGTTTTTCCATTATTTATCTCTTTTCTCGGGGCTTCTTCCAATTGTCGTCCGTTACGTAGACTCACTGCTTGTACTTGCTCGTTTTGCCTTTTTCTTGGGTCCTCCGTGTTTGATGGCAATGCTCCTTGCGGCCGGTTCTCTCGATTCAAAGCTAATTGAGCGACTTGGTTCTCCAAATTTCGCAACGAGGCTTGGGTAGCGGTCATGAATTGGGCCAATATCTCATCTGTGTTCGATTTTTGGGCTGGTGGATTGTTGCCTTGATAGCTTTGTTGAGGAGGGGCTTGATTTTGGAATTGACCTTGAGGTCTTTGATATCCTTGGCCTTGTTGATTTCCTCCATATTGCCCTTGTGATCTCCAACCTTGATTTTGGAATTGGCGAGGCGCGTTGTTGACGTAGTTGAGCGACTCCACATCTTGTTGGCATTGGAGCATGTAGTGATTTCCACCGCAAATTTCACAACATGGAGAATCAACTACTTGAACTTGTTGTGGTGGACTTGCTTTGATGTGCTGCAGAAGGAGTTGATTTTGTTGAGCAATTTGGGTCACTTGAGCTTGAAGGGCCGTAATTGCATCTAACTCCAACACTCCGGGAACTTTCTTGGCTCCACTAACCGTCCTCTCGCTTGACTTGGCAAACCTATTTTGTGCAATTTGATCCAACATGATAAATGCATCCGGTATCGATTGACTCATAAAATTACCTCCGGTGGATGCATCTAAGACGGTTCGTGCGTTCTCGTTAATCCCTTGGTAGAAGATGTGGATTTGCCGCCATTGTTCGACTCCATGTGTTGGACATTGCCTCAAAAGGGTCTTAAATCTCTCCCATGCCTCGTATAATTGCTCGCCTTGCTCTTGGACAAAATTGTGAATTTCTCGCCGGATTCTCTCGTCCTTCTCGGGTGAGCTATAGACTTTCATGAAAAGGTTGAGGAGTTGAGGCCATGACGAGATAGAGTGGGGGGCTTGGGACATCAACCACTGGCGAGCTCTTCCTTGTAGGGAGTGCTTGAAGAGAATTAATTGAAGCGCCTCTTGGGAAACGCCGTTTTGACGGTGGGAGTTACAGGTATCTAGAAAATTGACAATGTGAAGATGGGGATCTTCACCTGCCAATCCACTAAATAACCCGTTATTTTGGAGCATCGTCAAGAGGCCTTGCTTGATCTCAAAATTGTGCGCCTCAATGGGTGGATATTGGATGCTCGGGCGGAATCCGTCATGAGTCGGGATTATGTAGTCTTGAAGTGCCCGTGGCCTAACTGCTGGCTGTACTGGAAGTTGATGGGGTGGATCTTGGACTTGGTTTCCGTTGGCCCCGAGTAAATTACCCTCTGCGCGTATGCGTTCTTCGTCCTCCATTGTATTGGTTGCGTGTTGACGTCTCCTAGCGGCTCGAAAAGTGCGTTCGATTTCGGGATCAAACGGCTCTCTAGCAAGATCGAGTCTCCTAGGCATACACCGTACCTAAAGCAAAAAATAAAATAAAACAAAAATTAAATGGGTGAATCGTGAAAATTGTTCAAATTTAGAGCTAGAATAAAATAAATAATTAAAATAATCCCCGGCAACGGCGCCAAAAACTTGTTGGGCGAAAACCTACACGCAAGTGCACGTATCGTACAAGTAATATAGTGGACTAAAAGTCCGGATATCGAACCCACAGGGAATATTTAATTATCTAATCCTAGACGCTAAATTCTACCAATTATTATCAAGCCCACCCTACACAGTCGACTTTAGAGAGAATTAACTAAAATAAATTAAAAAGCAAATTAAAACGACAAAGCAAGAAAGCAAATTAAACACGAAGATTTATCAGAGTAAACGAGCCTAGGATTTTATTCTTCCCCCTATGTGATTATTATTCCCCCAATTCCTTCAATTATGCAAGCAATTAACCCGGATTATTAACCTGAGATGCTAAAATAATCATAACCCGCTTCCGCGTGTATTACGATTCTAATACTCTAGATTCAATTACTATATTCCTATGCAATTAATTCTAGAACACAGCGTTAAGCACAAATCTCAATAATGGCTACCTAAGAGATTAACTATATTCCTATGTTAATACCACAAAGGCTCTTCTACCACAGTTCTAATTATTAACCCGATCTTCCGATTCATGCGATTAACAATAACATAAAAGCACATAAGTTGATCAAGTTCATGCACTTAATAAAACAAGTAGAAGAAATAATCCGGAATTAAAACTTGCATAAAATCATAGAATTGGGTTCACAAAACCCACATAGGGTTCCAAATAAAATCCTAGAAATAAGTAATTTAGCTACTCATGATTAAAGCAAAAACGCAAATAAAATAAATCATAGACGATAAATCTTTGCTTGGAGTCTTCGAATTCTTCGTCTTCGTTATTGCTTTGTTGCTCTTGAAATTGCGTAAAAAGATCCCTAATTGTGTGCTTGGATTGGTCTTATATAGGGTGAAGAACTTGGGGAAGAAGGCAGTTTCCTTGTGCAATTAAAATCCCTTTTCCGCGCAACTTCGGAGTATGGGACGGGGGTCCCATAATTTGCACTAAAACTGGGACGGGGGTCCGAGCCTTGTTTCTTCAGAATTTTGATATTTTCACTTTTGACCCATATTTTCGCCAAAATTGCAGTTTTGACCCCATACTTTTCCAATTCTTCAATTTGTACCTAAAATACAATAAATCAACTTTTTAAGCACCAATTATCATTAAAACACACCAAAAGCTCAAATAAAAAGATACGATAAAGTGTAAAAATATACACTTAACAGGTATAACAAGCAATTATCAAATAATTGCACTAATATTCGACCCACGGCGAAGTTGAACAACGAACGAAACTTTGACAAAGGAAAAGAAGAATGAGAAGAACTATCTCGTAATTACCAATTAAATTAGGTACCGAATTGGCCAAATTCTGCCTTTATTTACAGGCGGTAGAATCTATCCATAGAAGGTTGCAATGCTTCGTAAAGAAACAAATACAAATACAAATTCATTCTCGAAAGCT